GAATACTACCCATAGGACAATGATTAGTGGACTTTTTATTTAGTTTGGGAAGGTGAAGAGAAACTTCCAAATCTCTGGGTGGTGGAGGGAGGAGGAGCAGGGCTAGCAGAGGCAGCATGCATGGGTGCTAACTGGCTCTGCCACTTACCTTCAAGACTTAGAATATCAAGACTCATCACCTGTGGTGGGTAGTGGTGGTGGGAGTGGCCATTTAAATTATTCTACAGAAAAACACACACACACGGAGGGGAGCAGACTAGGAGGGCCACTGGTGGGCCAAGTTGAGCCTGGATTCAAAATTCTATAGCCAAGGCTGGTCATAACCCAATTCACTACTCATCAGAGTTGTTAGCTGCCTACCCCAAACCCGAGATCAACTGTCCTGGCTGAAGCCACTACTAGAGTTGTCTGTAGACACACACAGGATGTTAAGAAAGCTAGCTGTGGGGATAACAGAGATGAGAAAAAGTTGGCCATAACTAGTCCAATAAGCGAGAAAGGAAGTAGAATGCAATGAGAGTAGGCTTTGGAATCCAACAGATCTGGGTTCAAGTCCCAGTCCTGCCCTCTGCTTATCCAGATGGCCTTGGATGGATTACTTCTCTGGTCCTCCCCAAGTACTCACTGCCCAGGACTGGGATAGAAAGGCAGTACAGGCGCCTTTGTGTTCCTGTTAGTGGAACTGAGAGGGAGTGATTGTAATGTTCTAGTTGTTTGGGCCTTATAATGACTGCTTCTCTTTGAGAACCCTTACTATCTTATTTTTAATTCTGGCTCATCTTATGAAAAGATGGCAAACATTTCTACAAACAAAACTGAATTCCCTCTCAGTACAGCAGATTTCCCTGGGCTCCGGGTTGAGGACAGAGTGGCTGGCAGAGGTGAGGCTGTGGGACTGGAGAGTAAGTTAGTAGAAGTGAGCAATTGGCAGTGTCCAGGCTGGGGCAGTGGTGTGAGGTTGGGAAGAAGGGGAAGTAGAGGAAGCCATGCTCCATAAATGTTTATGCCCTTTCTTCCCTTGCCTTTTCCAAGCCATATCTCTATTATTTTTGGTTGCTCTATTGATATTTCAAATGTTTAAACTCCTCCCCTGTCCTAACATTTTTATCCACCTGGTTGGCCTTCGCTTCTGCAGAGATTAAACACTGCCCTTTTGTTTTCAGAAATAAACCCCAGGAGGCTGCAGAGCTGGAGGGGCAGATTCCACCACCAACCTCTGACCTGCCAGAGCTGCAGGGCTTGGCCCACCTGCCCGGGGAGAGGCTGGGGCTGCAGAGGGAAAGGGGCCTTGGGAATGATGATCTGGGAGCCCTAGGCCTGTTGCCCCGCCTGGTATTTCCAGGCTTTTCTCCATTTGGCGATAATGCCAACGTCCTGCAGCTGCAGTGTTTTCAGGGCACTAGAGGAACTGGGACACTCTCTCCAAATAACAATGAGAATTTGTTCTGAGCCTTTGCGATAAGAAAGGAGAAAGAAAATCATTCCTAGAGGCAGAAGGAGCATACAATCATCTCCACAAGACAGAGTTTTCATTACCCATTATCAGGCGTTCACATAAGCACTTTGGAAGCCCATCTTTTGGTTTAAAATAAATGGTTCTTAAGTCTTAGGTTATCTCAGCCACGTCTTGTTTTAGGAGGAAATATCTGATCGGGGAGGCTGTGGGTGAGCTCTTTTATCCCGGGCGCAGCCTGGCAAGCTGCTCCGTGATGTGGATGGTGGTGCTGAATTCTGCCCCAGGCTCTTTTGTGGGAAGTGTGATAGGGGAATCCATTCGAAGGAGGCATCCCCCCGATTGAGTCATCACCCCGACACAAATGAAAAATCCAGGATAGATGCGGTGTTTTAAAATCTCTATGGGATGTGATTTTATATTGAGTTTCTTGGTTTTCTTTTTTTATTTTTTTAAATATATTTTATTGATTTTTTACAGAGAGGAAGGGAGAGAGATAGAGAGTTAGAAACATCGATGAGAGAGAAACATCGATCAGCTGCCTCCTGCACATCTCCCACTGGGGATGTGCCCGCAACCCAGGTACATGCCCTTGACCGGAATCGAACCTGGGACCTTTCAGTCCGCAGGCCGACGCTCCATCCACTGAGCCAAACCGGTTTCGGCGAGTTTCTTGGTTTTCTTTGAACAATGCAAATACTTCTTCTGTGATTCAGTTGTAAAGTTAGAATTGCAGGACTCCAGAAATAAATCTCAGTGATCCTCTCTCTCTTTTAATTAACTAGAAAAAGCAAAACCTCTTAGGAGCCACGTTAAATACACAGAGGAAGACAGAAGAAGCAGGAACTGCCTATATTCCCCACATGTAGAGGCTGAGTGAAGAATCGGCACTTACAGAAAGTGCACTCAGTGGAGCTTTGGGGGTCCTGGCTGGGCTGAATTAACAGAACCTAGAAGAGGTGAAGGGGTGAGTCTGTGAACTGGGCAGCCACTGAGCTTGGTGGTTAAATGAAGAAGCTCTTGATTATTCTGAGCTCAGCAAACCATTGCCCTGGGTGATCTGGGAACGCTCTGGACCCTCTGCATGAATTACAGGAAAAACAGGGGCTACTGTGTTTGTAAAGCAACCTAGCCCAGGGCCTGCCTGCAGGGACCTCAGGTAGCTCTGGTTGTTACCAGGGGCCCTGCCGCTCCGCCTGCACCCCCTTTTGGGGAAAAAACGGTTTGGTCTCTCATTTCTCCTTTTCACTCTCTTCCTCACTTGGGGCTGTCTGTCACTTCTTTCCCCTCCTTTCTCTCTCCACCCTCTCAGAGCTGAAGCTTCAGGGGAGGTGCCTGTTTCCAGAGAAGAGGGACCCTCTGAGTTACCCCAAGGCTGCATGTCAGGGTCCAGCCTCCCTCTCTCCAGCTGCTTCTAGGCTGAGCTACCCGCTGACTGGGCCCAGCTCATTCCCGTCTCCCCTCTTGCTGCACCCCCTGTGTGCTGTTCCTTCTGTACCTAATAATAAGCCTGTCAAAACCACACCCGCTCTCTTCCTTACACAGAAATGAGCCTGTCAGCTTCCCTCTCCCAACTCCCAATTCTTCAAGCTGAGACCCCTCCACGCCCTCTCCCGGTTCATCCTCCTCCTGTCTCTCACCTACCGCTCACTCTGCAGACTTGGCCCTCGTCCTTATTTAACGCCTTGGCATCTTGGGCAGTTTCCCTGGCCTCTGGCCTCAGCGACCCTGCTTCTCCCCTCCATTCCCAGCCTTTCACAGTTTACTCCCCTAGTTGGAACCCTGTGACATTGACAAATATCTCCTCCTTTTAAAAGAGCATCATTCGTGTCATTTATCCTGAGATAGAAAATCACATCCACAGAAAAGGAATTTCAGCCACGGATTGTTTGCAAGGACCCCACAGTCCAGACGGAAGGTCCTCATGATGAACTTCAACTCACTCCACTTGCTCCCACCTGGGAGCTTCCCACCAACCATCCCAGTTTCCCCATCAGTCCTGCTCCGGATCCTGCCTTCCCCGGAATGGCTAACCGAAAGCTGTGTTCACTGCTCGGAGGAGTTGGTCTGGGACAAGAAGGACCTGGTCGTGTTTAGTGACCAGATTGAATTTCTGCCTAGTGAATGCACTGAGAGGCACACAGCTACTAGTGAAGAGGCAGGAAGATTAGATTCAGTGGTATCTTAAGGCAAGAACCTTTGGTTTACACCTCTTTTTTATTTTTAATGGTTTTGGTCAACCAAACCATTAAGGGCTTATCCTTAGTAAATATTCTTTAGAATTTGAAGCAAGTCTAATTGTTTATTTATTGTAGTGTGTGTGCATGTGTGGTGATAGTTCGGTGTGTGTGTGTACATGTGTGGTGGTGGTTTTATGTGTGTATGTGTGAGGGTGTACATGTGTGGTGGTGGTTTGGTGTGTGTGTGTGTGAGGGTGTACATGTGTGGTGGTGGTGGTGTGGTGTGTGTGTGTGTGTGTGTGTGTGTGTGTGTTTTCTAAGTTATCCAGGGCTTTTAAGAGAAAATATTC